TTCGTGTGTTTCTCATGCACATCAATCCAGTAATTAAACCTGTTTTACAATATTCAGTGCTGTCTTTCTTAACCTGATGACTTACGCTGAATGTCACCAAAGGTATAATCAAGCAGATGATCTTTAGTGAACTAGGGTTGGTCTGTTTAGGTTCCTGTACACTGACACCCGTGAAGGTCCGGGTTAAAATTGGTCTTCAGTAACCCATGCTTGTCGTAAGAGGCGACTAACGGGATCGGATGGTCAGGCTCGCTGACCTGGTTGATGTTAATCACTGGATTGTCTGGTCCAGACTCGATTATTTACAGACCGCCGCCATATAGCTGGAATATTGCTGAATGCGGTGTAAAACTAAACTCACTCACTCACTCCTGTACACTGAATAGGAACTGATTGATTGATTGTTGTTTAACGCCGCATGCAGCAATATTCCAGCTATAAGGCGGCGGTCTATAAATAATCCAGTCTGGACCAGACAATCAACAGTATGAGCATCGTTCTACGCAATTGAGATACGATGACATGTGTCAACCAAGTCAGCGAACCTGACCACCTGATCCCGTTAGTAGCCTCTCACGACAAGCATGGGTTACCGGAAGACCAACTCTAACCCGGATCATCACGGGTCCGAATAGGAACTGGTTATGCCAGTAGTTAGTTATGCTAGGCAAGTGGTTTTGTTTCTATTGCTGCTTCAGGTCCACACTGCGCCACATGTATATATAACTGTTGAGGTTATAGTTAATTTGTATTAAATATAGCGTTTATTACAAAAGTCAATCGGAAATTGTCTTGGTATTTGGTAGGTAGGTAGGTAGATAAGGTTGCAGGGCGACCTTGGGCCGTAAAAGGTCTATATGCGCCCAACACTTCACAAACTGTTTCTTGGTATTTGTTCATTTACTAGAGTTGCTTCCTTGAAAGAGCAATAACTCGACCGACAGATTTCTGCGAAAAGCATTCACTTACAAAGCTGAATTGTATCTGAAGGTAGTTGTCGTCTTGCCTAATTCATAGTTGCGCCACTGGCTGACAAACGTTTTGGCGCACAAACTAATATATCTATTTTAACATGTTGGAGACGTTTTCAATGGGTTTATTGATCAGGTTGGTATATATGGCCATAAATGGTCGAAACCGTGTTTAAGGTTGTAAGTGTTGGATCGGCAACATCACTTGTATACTATGGGATTGTGATACCAAGTTTTATCAGATTGGTTTATCGCATCGATAACATTATCCCTTTTATGATATTATTACTTTGTTTTAGACTTATACCTGTCATAATGAGGAATCAGTAGAATTGACAATTTCCTGATAACAAAATGTTCAAAGCAGCGGTCAACTCACTCAATGACCCTCTCAGACATGTGCTCCCGTGCACTAGGTCAAAATACGTCAGTCGACAAAGGCGCTGTGCAGAATTGCGTCCCTCAGTTCGTTATTTTGTTCGCATCCTGAGTGATCGCCTGAGTGACCTGCTTAATAATATTTCGAGCCTAGTTATCGAATACAATATGAAATGATTGACTAGAATGTTTCAAAAATCCAGGATTAGAATTGGCCTTCAATAACCCATGCTTGTAAGAGGCAACTAATGGGATCGGGTGGTCAGGCTCGCTAACTTGGTTGACACATGTCAATCCCAATTGCGCAGAACGATGCTCATGTTGTTGATCACTGGATTATCTGGTCCAGACTCGATTATTTACAGACCGCCGCCTTATAACTGGAATATGTCTGAGTGCGGCGTTAAATAACAAACAGAAAACTGGTTTTAAAAGTAGAATTAAGGAAATGGTATTGAAAATAACCAATTGCATTTATCGCACCTTTATAAATAACGATGGCGATCAAACTGCTTATATTTGAGTAAACGCTGCAAGTTTGTATGCAGAGCGAGATACCTTAAGTTAGCGTTATAATGTGCTTTGATATATAGCTTTTGATGGACTAGCTCACATAAAATAAATGATCATGGATATTACCTCACCAGCAGTTTCCCATTGCCCCCAAGTAACATTTTACTTTGAAAACAGGTGCTCGTGTAAATGATAGCCTATTAAAATAATTTAAAATATTTTTTTTACTGATGTACTTTTCATCGAGCAAAAACATCAAAAGAATCGACTTGAGATTAACCTTCTCTGTATCACAAGATCTTTAGTGTATTGACATTAAGATACATAATGGCAATGACCAAGAGCATTAGGGAAGCAGCCTGAGCTATTGATATATTTGAATTCTACACGCGATGAACGATTATGAAAGTGTGACGAAGCCTTCTAAAGGAGGCGGTTTGTAGCTGAGTGGTTAAAGCGTTCGCTGTCACGTCGGGTTCGCTTCTTCACATTGATATACTGTGTGAAGACCAATTCCGGGTTCTCCCATCGTGATATTACTGCAATAAACACTCGATCGACTGCAGGAATTTAACTGACACTAAAAGAACAACTGAATTATTTTAGCATAAAATTGAAACATATAGAATATTTCTTTCCCAACAGGTGGACCGTGGTCTCGCAGAAACGTAATGCTATTTTATCATCTTGGGTGTGGGTAGCATGGTAAATAAAAGTGACAAAATCTTTATAAAGAAATCACTTCAGATTCTGGAAGCTCAGACGACTGAGAGAAACAAATAAACTCATTTAAATTGAAAAAGAGCCCCAGTGAGTTGGGAGATTCAGAACCTGAGGAAATCGGGACTTGCTTCATTTAGAGCTTTAGCATTGCAGGGGGGAGATAACAGGGACTGGGAGACAGACTACACCCTTGAGTACAGCGTTGGTTCAGATCAGAATAGGATTACTGACATAGGCACATTCTTGATGGCCTACGTCTGAAGCTCATTGCTCTGTTAAACGCCGAAAACCTGATCATCACTAATTTCCAATTATCCATTCACATAATTTTCACAGCTATGATTCCCTCTACACCAAACGGAATTAGTTCCTAAGTGTAGTCAAAACTGGACACTATTTGCCCAACGTTCTATATTTAATACAACTTGGTCGATTTTCTGCTGTTGGACTGAAGTAACGGGAGATCCATCATAAGCTCCGTACAATCTAAGTATGCCGAGTCAACTGTTCGGTCCGAGACATTAAAACTGACACCCAGTGTGTAGTTATACAAAACTATTTCCCAAACGTGTTTCTTTACATATAGTACCTCTGTACTTCTACACAGTTGTCGTAATTCCAAATTTATCTAACTGGATTTTCCGGCTCATCCTCACTGTGGTTGTGTGGTTCGTTTTTAGGCAGCGACGCTGTCCGGAGTACTTCAATGCAACGTAGGCAAACAATTCATCTATTTGTATGCATATTTTGTGAATGGCGGGTGCTACCGGTAGGGCATGGCATGCTTACCCTTTTCGCGAACACCTGGTGTCAATACTGAGTTTCATTCTTAGTTTCACAGTTATTTTGTGCATTTACACCAAATGGGACTTGTTTCTGAGGATAGTCGAGAATGGGTTTTCTTTTGAGTGAGTGAGTGAGTGAGTGAGTATGGTTTTACGCCGCTTTTAGCAATATTCCAGCAATATCACGGCGGGGGACACCAGAAATGGGCTTCACAATCGAACCCGGGTCTTCAGCAGGTCGAGCGGACGCTTTAACCATTAGGCTACCCCACCGCCCCTCATCTTATTTGAACTCGAGATAACCGGTGAACAATAGGGAATCCCAAGACTTACACCATGGATGATGTGCAGGTGTTATTGAGTAATCGAAACAAAGAATCTTTTTAATCGATGATGTAAACCTGTGATTTCAAAATTTTAAATTTCCGGGTATCGAATCTGCAAAACTAATTATTATGAGCATTCGGTGAGATTTTTCTATTTCTGGGACATTGAATACTCCTTAGCAGCCTCAAATCTCAAAACCATAACGTTTATCTAAATTGTAACTGCGGAAGGTTTTCGATAATTTTCCCTTGCACTCTTTTGACTTTGGAGTAAACATTTGTGTCTCCTCCCCGGTGCAGAGAGAACTTGACATTGCACTATTTCGACACGGTTATTGTATACCACGTGATCGGACGTTTCTCTTGTTTGTAAATATTCGTGTTTATCCTGAAATCAGAGCTGACGGGCCCATGGAGGCTTTCGAGGAGTATTGCAGATTGTTTAGTCGAGTTAATACAGATATGCGGCAGCGAGGAACATCACTATATATCTTTACATATAAATTGGTCCTACATATGCTCTCAATTGGGCGTCGAAGTTTCCACACGGGGCGGCGACAACACTGTTGACCAAAGGATAATTATGCCAGTGGAAGTTGTATATTATCTCAATGAAAGTTAATAATTTCACGTTAAATGTTTATCTGGGATTACTTTTAAAAGGACGAACTGATGATTTTTTAACCATACATGTTGGAATAGGTGTTCATCTAACGCAATAAAAGGATACAGTATTTCTGATCGACGCTGTTGCATTGAGTGAGTTGTGTTTTATGCCGCTTTAAATAAGACTATTCCAGGCATGTCACGGTAGGGTTTCATATACTGTTCCTAAGTGTGTATCGAAGCCAGATCTTTAGCAACCCTGCTAGTGGTAAGAGGCGACTAACGGGATTGGGCTGACATATGCCATCGTATCCCAATTGCGGAGATCGATGCTCAGGATTTGATCACTGGATTGTCTGGTCCAGACTCGAATTTTCACAGGCCGCCGCAATATGGCTGGAGTATTGCCGAGTGTGGCGTTAAACAAACAAACAAACAAACAAACAAATCAAACCCAGACCTTCGAAGTGACAATCAAATGCTTTAACCTCTGGCCAACTCATTGCCACAATTGTAAAGAAGGAGAACTTAAGAGACACAAGAACGTAAATTGTATTCATCCACTTTCTCTGATGACGTGATTTAATAACGTCGCAAATATTATTGAATCTAACACTTATTTTCGACTTGATGATCTGGAAAGTTTCACGCACTCACTTACTTTTACACCGGAAAAGACAAAACATTACAGAGAGATGTCAGAAGCAATATTTTTATTGTAAAATGCATAATAAATATGACATAATAACCTTTCATCATAAACACGTTTACTATAATCACACAAGCAAACCTCTTCAACTGTTGTATGTTCAGTGTCTATACATATGGGCGATATGACAGACTAACAGTTGCTGGAGGAGGTAGAGGCCTTTCACCATCTATAGCTGTCCATGAGATATATATAACAGTTTGATGCAGTACGCTTGTAACCACCGCACCAGGCATATGTCTGGTCGAGATCCACTTCGTGTAATCACAGGGCAAGATAGCAGCACTTCTTCATTTCATTATGACGTAATGTTCTGTTCAGGAACAAGAAATAAGAAATAAATCACAGATTTGTGTCTAGTTGTGTAACAAAAGTGATGTAATTTCAAACATCATCCTTGGGACATATTTTTCAGAAGCAACAAATATCAGTATACACTGGATGTTCGTGAAGAAGCTGAGGTGCGCCATTGGTCTTGGATTGCAATCAATCATTTCACCGATCCTTCAATCAACTGTATCAACTGTTCTTAATATGTGATGATGCAGGGACAGCTCTGTGATATTCTGTCAGCTATATCACACAACTTACATGTACACCTGAATGTGATCCCCAAGATTTCTCCAGGTAGAACAGATTTGACAAGAAGCTATCAGCTTCAGTCCCTCACTTTTCACAGACAAGTCAAGAAACACATTAACGTCATCACCGGTTCTCAAAGCCATAGCTCAAGTTGTTCGGGCCTGTGTAGATACCCTTGACCCTGGGGGCATATGCTGGTGATGAATAGTCCATGTTTCGTGAATAGGGGCTTGAACGGGCCTTGTTTGAGGCCATGTATGGGTCTGTGCTATAAGGGGCATAAGCAAAACAGTCTGTGTACATTTGTGTCGGTCTGCCGTACTGAAGGCCTGTGTGGAGGCTGGGGTTGATTCCTGGAGGGGCAACCAATGAACCTATGTCTTCTCCAGCACAGTCTCCTGAAATCATAAGAACATATGTCAATTAGTGGACGATTCTACCATCTGGTTACAGGTATGTTTACGGACAATGTACCATTTTGTTATACGCTGGTATCTTTACGCCAGACCTTGGCACTTTTTTGCTAAACCTTAGTACCTTTTTCCTATACCTTGGTACCTTTTCGTTATACCTTGCTACCAATTCGCTTTACATTGGTACATTTTCGCCATACCTTGGCACCTTTTCTCTCTATATTTGTACCCTTACGCTACACCTTGGTACCTTACGCTAAGGTATCATCACTATTTGAAAGTTGTCTAAAACTCATATTCGTGATTTAGTCAGAATTGTGTAATGGTCTTTATTAAATGAAATATATAAGATATTGTAAATAAAATCAGTTTAGTTGATTTTGAGAATAAAATCTAAATTAAAATTTAAAATTTAAGCGACAAAACAAATTGAAGGCAGCCCTAGTCGGTTGGGGAAAATGTAGACTCAGTTTATCGACAGTGAGACAGACAAGTATGATGTGCTCAAGGCAACATTCCGACATGAAAATCCTGCAATTTATTTTCCATTTATATCAACTGCAAGTGCATCATAATTCGCATAAACAATTTAACCACCTCCCAGTAGGAATTCCTGGATCGCTTCCCAATAACAGACTTTTAAAAATTTGGAATGTGAGCTAACGCAGAAAGCTTTCATTTTTTTCCTTCAAAATACCTTTGTCATCTGGCCCTCTCTTTCTGCCGACTCCCCCGAGGACAGTCAGAGGGTTCTGTCTGTGGGTAGTCCTTGTCCTGGAGGAGCAAGGGTTCAGATGAGACAGGACTTCAACCATACTGCAACAGAACAGGGTGATTAGCTTATCTGTGATTTACACCCTCACTCACTGATATGGCTGGACCGGACAAGTCAATGGTTGATATAATGAACACATAATCAAATATCTGAATATTATCATATGATGTGTATGATGTTCACAGATCCCGAAAGACGAAAACATGATACTTGTGTATAATGATAATAATCAAGATCATGAGCATCGATTTACGCAACTGGGATACGATGTCATGTGTCAACCAATTCAGCGAGCCTGACCACTCGATCCGTGAGTCGTTTCGTATGACAAGCATGGGTTATTGCGACCTATTCAGATCAGAAAACGTGATGAACCACATGGGTGGCATTGTCACACTGTTTGTTTGTTGTTTAACGCCGCACTCAGCACTGTTGCCACAATCCAGTGATTGATATAGTGAATGACGTTCGATGGCCTGGCACACAATCAACGGACCCTTCCAGTTGATATCATAGTTTGCCCTGACCATTTCTAATCAATTGTCCGTACACACTTAACTGGAAGCATCGCAGTATTCATGTATTGTCATTTGACCCTAAATACATGTTACCTACATTAAATTAATGTTGAGGGGTGGTGGGGGGTTCGCTTGTCACGCCGAAGTCACGGTTTCGATTCCCCAAATGCTAAAAAGGTAGAGGCTAAAATATTGTACTATTTTTCAACCCAGGCCATATACGCAAAGGTGATATCAACTACCCCATATACAGAAAGGTGATATCAACTCTACGTATGGATGACAATGACCCTATATGCATACCGGAGGAGTGTAACGCCTTGGTATCATAGTACGGATAAAAAATGTCAAATACTTTTTTATATTTTCCTCACAAACAGACGTAGGTTAATGCACACTTCTGGCAAACTCACCAGTCATTAGGATCACAGTCTCTGAACCCTTTGGCAAATGGATTACTGGCAATCTTCAGCTGCGTGATCTGCAGAACAAATAACACATATAAGTGACAATACAAACAGAGGGGAACAAAAATAGTAGCTGGCTATATAGAGAACCAACACAGAAACTGAATACGTTGACATCAGCACATGCCGAATGCAGTGAGTGAAATAAGACTCGGCAGTTGACTTACGTTCCCAACACTCATGCAACGAATCTGCCAGTGTCCCTTTCAGATGATTTCACAAATTTGATGATAGATTCTTTGTCGTACGATCTCCTATTTTTGTTTATAATTATGTTGATGTTTCTTCGCCCTATGGGAATTCCGGGGTAGAAACGACCCCTAGAAATGGTAGCCTAGTGGTAAAAGCGTTCGTCGTCACGCCAAAGACTCGGGTTCGATTCCCACATGGGTACGATGTGTGAAACCCATTTCTGGTGTCCCCCGCCCTGATATTGCTTGAATCTTGCTAAAAGCGGCGTAAACCTAAACTCAGTTACTCATCCCAGAAACGAAAATCTGTTTCTGCTGACGCCATCGAGGACTGTCAGAGGGTTTTGCCTGTGGGCCGCCCCCAGAAAGGAACTTATCAGTTGCGAATAATTGGATCTCTGACCTGGCTCAGTGACTTGATTAAATACGTGTCATCCCCGACGCCCGGTGTTCATTATATCAACCATTAGTCTGTTTTCGATTGTTACAGGTCGCCTGTATACAGTCTGAATATCACTGAGCATACAGACATGCACTGTTATTTAGGTCAAGCAATGTCCTCAGGAAGGGTTATCATGAAGCTGGTCTAGAAGTCTTGTGTAACGTTTCACCACTCTTGTAAAACCGTAGCTATTCAGGAATCCATTATCAATACTGATAATTTCTCGTGTTGTACAAACGCCCTTCAGAGTTTACATTATTGATAACAGAAATCTGCAGCGATTCAGGGCCTATATACAAATCCTACAACAAACTAGCATGGTGTCGAGGAGGTTCTGAATGCTGGGTACAATATACAAGTATTTCTGCTGAAGCAGGTGTTAGTTTTCATTGTGTATTGTGACACGGCCGCCAGACATCACCCAGGCACATACAGGTCTCGTATCCATGACTGACAGAGAGAGGCTGTACACTGTTACAAAATATACAAAAGTCTACATGTGATGAAATCTTCCATTAGACCTCTCTTTCAGACTTAGACCCTACTTGATTGATTCGGGAGTGCTTGCATTGATGGAAAGGTAATAATGTGTTCGGCACACTTAGATGTATTAATTATCTATTATATGAAAGTGAGGGAGTGAGTATTGTTTTACACCGCTTCAGCTATATTCCAGTAATATCACGGCGGGGGACACCAGAAATAGGCTTCAGAACATTGTACCCATGTTTGGAAACCACTAGGCTACCCCACCGCCCCTATTACATGAAAACGTGAACACATATACTCATGCCAATAATGGTTGTCAGCCCCTTCAATTGTTTTAATTGGAGAGGGAGGTGGGGTGGGGGTGAGGTGTGTGTGTGGGGGTTGGGGTGGGGAGGGAGTGACAACCATTATTGGCATGAGTATATATTATGTATATACATACATACATTGTATACTCTGAACATCGAGTCTGTACCAGACTATCCATGATTGACCAGACTATCCATGATTTAGAGACATTACTTCTCCATTATAATAATAACAATAATAATAGTGAATTTATATAGTGCATTAATCCATGCGCAATGCATGCTCTAAGCGCACATATATGTGGGTATTAAGAGTCATTCTAGAAAGGCACTATTAAATAAGTAGGTCTTTAGCTCAGATTGAAAGGAGGCAAGAGATGAAGACTGTCTGAGATTGACTGGGAGGTCGTTCCATTCCTTTGCTGCATCCAGACTGTGAAGATCCGATAACCCGATCCCATTAGTCGCCTCTTATGACAAACACGGGTTGTTGAAGACCGATTCTAACCCGGATATCGTCCATTAAGGTAATACTATGTAGTGTAACATTCCATAATGCTTCAAAAGGATCTCAGAATATTTGGTTTGACTTGAATTTCTTAGACGAGTAACATATTTTAGTTTACATAAACTCATATTTGATATACAATTTGTCTGATTTCAAATTCTAACATGAATAAAATAATGCACATTCCCTGCTTGAGCTACCACTAAGACACAGTGTGAGAATCTAGATGACTAAAGGCAAGCAAAACGTTAAACCGCATACCCTGTGGTTTTGATAAGCAGTGACGGCCATGAACTTGGTTTCCTGGAAGATGAACGTCTTGAAGTTCTCCGTGGCTGAAGACTCCTCTGTCTTCGGACTGACGTACACCACGTGGAAGCGAGGCTGGTATTTGTGCATCGAGTTCAGAATTATCTGAAATAAATAACATGTCTGGTAAAGTTCACGAATACCTCAAGTTTAAGACGTCGTATGTAAGTTTTAGAAGCTGGGGTGAAGTGTTGTTATGTTGTGTTAAATCTGGTAGCGTTCAAGAATACCTCAAATATATGAAGTCGTATGGGATGTTTTAGAAGCTAGGGTGATGTGATGGTGTGGTGTTTTGAATCTAGTAATTCGGGGATGGAGTACATCAACAACGTTTGAAAGTGTCCAGTACGATGCTCACTGGCATATAATGGCGAGGTAAGCCGTCAGCCTGGTATTGTATGGTATCTCAAGTCCACAAGTTTTCCAAGAAGATTTTCTTGCAGAATAACACAAAATGCAGAATGAGTTGGAGAGACGATTGACATACAATATATAGTTGGTAAGAGGTTGAGTTAGGTTAACCTTCCTTAAACAGTATTTCAGCTACATCACAGCGTGTCATTATAATGTTATTGAGTGAGTGAGTATAGTTTTACGTTGCTTGTATCAATATTCCAGCAATATCGCAGCAGGGGACGCCAGAAATGGGCTTCACACGTTGCACGCATGTGGGGAATCGAACCCGGGTCTTCAGCGTGTCCGGGTCTTTAACCACTGGACTACCCCCTCATAATGTTACACGAAAATCTGATGTGATGTAGGTCTCACACGTTTACCCATATGACGCTGGCAAACCTAGAAAAATATTCGAGCAAACTAGGATTCGAACCAAGGACTCTGCACCATTGGCGAGCACATTACATCACCATATATGCACTTGCGCAAAGTGATCTAAGCATTTACATAATCGTAATATCCAGATTATAGCATAGACCAAAGACAGTATTAGCGTAGTCTGTCATGCAGACCCTGAAACAAATATACCCAACACAGTCCATGCAAGTCAAGAACATGTGACAAGTCTGGATTACAGTCTCTGAAACTGAGTGAGTGAGTGAGTTTAGTTTTACGCCGCGCTCAGCAATGTTCCAGCTATATGGCGGCGGTCTGTAAATAATCGAGTCTGGACCAGACAATTCAATGATCAACAGCATGAGCATCGATCTGCGCAATTGGGAACCGACTCTGAAAATGAAAAAATTCTCTGGGCTCCATTTCATTATGTATTATCATTATAGTTTATGGTTTTTTTCAGTACAATATGTTCATTTTAGAGACTTGATGTCAGTCTAGTATTAGCAATAAGATCACTTCGTGCAAGTGGGCCCAGACCTTAATTATTTACAGGCGCCATTGCTCGGCCGATATATTGTAAAACAACAATCAGTGACGGTAACGTTGATGGTTTCCGTCGCCTTGGACACAGGCCGCATCAGGCTGAGATGTTGATACTACTAAATCAGGAGCGGTCCTACATATAACATGGAGACGATCCACATCCAGATGTGTAAACAGGCTGTGTGTGAGTGGTCTACATAGTGATGTCGACAAGGAGATTACACTTTAGTCGGTGTACGCTCTCCGTCAAGTAGCCCGATGCGGAAATAACACCACGGTGTGTTGATACTACATTAATTAACACTTCTTGAAGTTTGTAATTAGATGTAGCAATTCGTACACTGGCTGTAGTGAGGTCATGTGGGTGGTTGTCATGGAGATTGATTTTGACTGAACACACATTCCTTGCTGGGAAATAGATCAGATTGAATGATGTCCATTTTCCTTGATCGCTACTGATTCTTTGACGATGATTCTGGTCTATACCAGATCCTATAATATCATCAGGATTAATTTACTTGGTTGTTGTGTCCAGCTTTATCAACCGCAATGCCAGTAGTTTGGAGTGCTTCGTTTTTGTTTAACGCCTCTGTACAGCTGTATGACGTCAACCCGTAAAGATCCGGGTTGGAATTGGTCTTCCGCATCTCGGGCTTGTCGTCAAAGGCGACTAACGGGATCGGATGGTCATGCTCGATGACGCATGTCATTGTATCCTAACAGGCCCCGTAAGTAGGTCACAGAACTTCGCGAGACTTTAGTACTTCCGGTGACAAACTTTTCGAATGGTCTAGATCTCATGGTTGTCAGCCAATCATGGTTGTACACTTGCATAGTAAAGTCATATTTGGCGGTCAAGAACCAGAACGGGTTCTTGAAAATACGCTTGTCACCTGGAAATCTGGTACCGGAAGTATGCTGGACCCCGTCTCGCATATCGCAAGTTGGCGCGCGCAAAGGGAGCCGGGAACCAGCTTAGTACTGGAAGTAGCCCCTCGCGCGACTTACAGACCCTATTGCGTAGAACAGTACTCATGCTGTTGATCACTGGTTAGCTGGAATAATAAACAACACACAAAACAAACTGTATGACTGTATTCTGTAAATATCGAGTGTGGACCAAACAATCCAGAATTGGCATCAAGAGCAGCTGAGATACAATGGTATTCTTTAGCTATGTCAGCAAGCATGGCCTACCGACCCTGTGAGTCGCCTCATACGACAAGCCTGGGCTGCCGAGGAGTGAGTAGATGAGTGGATTTGACATTCAGTATCACGAGTAAATAATGGATGCAGAACCACATCAACCGTCATGGCCATCTGGGTCCGGTTTCAACAAACGATCTTAGTGTTAAGCCTATGTTTAAGAATCAGCTTTGCCCTAAGATAGCTTTGCGCAACAGGTGCCAGTTATATCACAGCTCACAAGGATATGTTCACAAGGATATGTTCCAGGGAATCTACTCAAGCGGCAGCTGGGACCACCTTGGATACCTTATAACTAATTTATCTATCTCTTTTTACTTATTCTACTATCTTGTCCACTATCTGTCATCTTTAATTGCGGAAATCTAAATTACCTATGTACATACCAAGGAGAGGGTATTCTAAGTTGGAGAACTTGTTCCTAATCCTTTTCTCAGTGACTAAACTATGTTGAAAGGAAACTAATTTATACCTCGTTATATTTATTGACCTATGGCACGGTTACTGGTCAAAATTTGGAAGACGGTATATTTTGAAAGACAAGATGGCAACCCAGAGGAATCCACTTCGAGGTTCCGCTTTCTATCACTGATCATTGAAAGTATGTGGTTAGGGTAGAGATGGATGCAAAGACTACAGGGGAGCTCATTGGAAGACTAACGCATAGTCTCTGAATATATTATACCCATTTAAAACCCATTTTAATTGAAAAGGAGCCTCAGGGAGACCAGAGATTCAGAACCTGGGGAAATCTAGAATGGCTGCATTTGGGGCTTTAGCATTGCAGGGAGGGCTAGGCTTTAGAGAATGTAATATGGTTCAGGGACTGTGAGACAGACAATGATCATTGGCAACAGTTAACAGATCGTCCTGTAGACACTGATACATGAGGGAGAACATCAGATGAACCATGGTTGATTGAGGGCATTAGCTAACCACTTATAGCATCACATGTCTCTTTCATCGTAGGGTATGCGATGTATTTCTTGATATATTTAAAGAAAGGAAAAGTATAGTCCATAGAGATGTTCGACTGCTCAAAATATCAGTGACCTCGCTTACCGTAGCTTGTCATAAGAATCTACATTTTTACATGGACACTTTTGACCTTGTTCCGAATTGAAACATGATCAACATGTATGTAGAAGAGTAAAACCGATAACCTAAACGCAACACATCCTCCATGGCAGGGGAAGTATAAATATACCATACGCCTATCGACATTCACAGCTTTCAAACGGATTGTCATAGTTCTATGAGGAAGAGTAAATTCTTGAGATTGTTCCGAATTGAAACATGATCAACAGGTACGTAGAGGAGTAAAACCCATAGCCAAAACGCAACAAATCCTTCCGGACAGATGCAGTATACATATATCATAGGAGTATCCCCATTCATGGAACATAACAGGATTGTCATAGTTCATATTTACTTTGATCTACAAGCTAGAACAATGCCCTGGTTGCCCTTTGCGGGTCTACCAATCAGCTCGGTGCAATCTATATCCCAAAGGACGTCTCTGATGATGGATGCGGGTACAGCATGATATTGGGAAACTTCGGTGTTTGGAGTTTGTGCAAGTTAAGCGTTGTACGTAGTGTATCTGTGTCAGTTAAACGGCAGTGGTCACGTCCAAGCGTAAGATCTGAGACGAGTTTTGTTTACCTACAGGCGTGGAATAACAAAGGCTGGTATCACATACTGCAGGGTTGTGTCAGATTTTCCCTGAGTAATTAGCACTGGGTCGGGGGTTCTACACCACGTGCGACACAAGGGAATGTTTCATGCATGCGATAAGCGAGCGTGCGGAGAGTCAGCCGGCTCTCGCTTACTTCCTCTCACAAATTAACGAGCTGTATAAACAACTAAACGAAATCTAAACATTCCAAGTTGAATAAAAGTAGCGACCTGGCACTCAGCTATCTAACAAACGGCTACGGCTGACCTCGCGAGACCTTTCGAGATTCTACGAGACTTGGCAAATGGAGGACCACTCTCCTGGAGAAGAAGATAAGAAAGTGATCGTTGATCATCTCGCCTACGTGGCCGCGTGTCATCAAACCGAGTAGTAGAAACAGTCGAGCAGATTTATAAGGCAGTATTCAAGAGGGGCCTGTCACCACCGTACCTTCATCTATCAGTACATGGCTAACAATTACCACCTTTCTGCCTCCCAGCTGGAACTAACCTACATGCTGCAATCAGTTACCATGTCTGCCTGTCTAGCGTCAGCTAAATTAACTCACGATAGATTAGGTTTAAACAAATAAATTAGCGCAATGCCTTACACCGGCAGAATCAGTTCGTCTACGGGTACCGTTGAGAATGGAATGTTACATCCTCGATTCAGGATGTCTTTGATGACTTAAATTGTTTGGTAAACACTAACAGGAAAGGTGTTTTAATTACCTGGATATATTTCTGGTCGGGGAAAGGTGAGAAATGTGGCAGTAAATTAAATGGAGAATCATCAGAATGCTCCTTAATTCGAATTCTTAAAAGGATGCTACACTGTCACTTTACTTACAAATGTATAGATCAATATATGAATCATGGTAACATTATATTCCATATAAAACTAAATATAGACAATTAACAAATATTTTAAAAAATTCGTCAGTTTATGTCTTTTTAAAGTCCCCAGCTCTCTACCCAGATAGCTAGTTAGCTAGCTAGATTTCAGCACTGGTTCCCCAATACCCGACACTACGAATACCTCTATATCAGCACTGGTTCTCCAATACCCGACACTACGAATACCTTTATATCAACACTGGTTCTCCAAATACCCGACACTACGAATACCTCTATATCAACACTGGTTCTCCAATACCCGACACTACGAATACCTCTATATCAACACTGGTTCTCCAATACCCGACACTACGAATACCTCTATATCAACACTGGTTCTCCAATACCCGACACTACGAATACCTCTATATCAGCAATGGTTCTCCAATACCCGACACTACGAATACCTCTATATCAGCAATGGTTCTCCAATACCCGACACTACGAATACCTCTATATCAGCAATGGTTCTCCAATACCCGACACTACGAATACCTCTATATCAGCAATGGTTCTCCAATACCCGACACTACGAATACCTCTATATCAGCAATGGTTCTCCAATACCCGACACTACGAATACCTCTATATCAGCAATGGTTCTCCAATACCCGACACTACGAATACCTCTATATCAGCAATGGTTCTCTATACTACGAATACCTCTATATCAGCAATTCTCCAATACCCGACACTACGAATACCTCTATATCAGCAATGGTTCTCCAATACCCGACACTACGAATACCTCTATATCAGCAATGGTTCTCCAATACCCGACACTACGAATACCTCTATATCAGCAATGGTTCTCCAATACCCGACACTACGAATATCTCTATATCAGCAATGGTTCTCCAATACCCGACACTACGAATACCTCTATATCAGCAATGGGTCTCCAATACCCGACACTACGAATACCTCTCTATCAACACTGGTTCTCCAGTACTGCCATGACCTCTTCATCATCACTAGTTCAATAACTCATTTGATCTCTTAACCAGCATTGGGACTCTAACACCTGACATGGTCTCAACCATCACTGGTTCTCCAACTTCTATGATCTCAACACTTATCATACACGCGGGCTCTTCATGGCACCTTTATTCACTTCATCAGTATTTGTTCTTCCGGGACCTAACAGCTGAAATATACCATATCTACCGATAATAGTTAGATTGCTGTTTGATCTTTGATTACTTGGAAGCTACATCCAGTTAAAGCTGGGGAGGGCTTTAGCTTGGGAGGTGTGGGTTCCTCTGTAAGTTACAATACATATAATATATATCCTTAACGTAAGCTTGGCGTTGTGATGTGCCCTAATGTATATACTCACACCCACATCATGATGTATGACAGGTGGACCTGACTGAGAATCACACTTGGTTGTTGTATGTGATATGATCATGTGCTCCTTTCATCCGTACTTCCGTAATGTCCAAAAGCACATTTTCTTGGGATGCTTATTCCCAACAAACGTTTCGCTCTCAGCGCACATTTGAAACTTTATAGCCTTTTAATATTTCCTTTTCGATTTCCACCCATCTCCGCCAAACAGCCAAAGATAGTATTGTATTAATTGTATCCAATCACCTTCAAACGACCGAAATCAAAATGTGTTCCAGTCATTGTACATGTACAATTTATATATTTAAATAGAAATTCAATGCTTTCTGTCTTATAATATTTAACAGTATGGACGATTGAATATGTGACTTATCGAGACCTACAATAACCATCCCACTATAATGACTGTCCGATACTTTCGCGAACATCCGGTGTGTTAGTGATCCATGTATATATAATTTCCATGACTATTTGGCCACTGCCAGTTGAATCAGTTAGGATATAATGAAGACCGATATTTTTCCAGCATTGAGGTTAATTTCACCAGCATGCTCCTCATCAACAGCTGCACCCATCGCGTATTTCAGTCTCATCAATACTTACATGTCCGTTGTCATCCAGGAGATTGTTCGTCAGCTTCAGTTTGTCAAATGACACGATCTGCTTCATCCACTGGGAACCTTTGGCTGGAGAGTCAGGGTGGACGTGGATCCGCCCCGGCATGTGGGGGTCAGCCTTGCCGGCCACCACCCAGCTGGAACTGTGGAAGGAGTACCTGTACCTCTTGTCGTCCACGGGGACGAAGTCCATCATCACCATGAAATCCGACATGGGGTCAAGGCCGAACAGACGGACTTGGAATGTGGGGAACATCCGTCTGGAACAGAACAAGAGGTCAACCTATTAATGGCGTCGGGAATGACTTGCGGTATTTGTACTTTTGTGAGTTGCAGTCTGGGAGGAAATAGATTAGCCATAGTTTTGGGTAGCTGACCCACTTTCTGAATATATTTTGTCCGAAATTTCCATGAAGCAGATTAATATGGCTTTTGTCAAAAAAGACAACAGAGAGAAGGATCAAGTTTTTGTTAGTTTAATGCTGCAATTAGCTAATATTTGGCATTAGCACGACACTCTATCAATAATTGAGTCTTGGTCGGGGATACCTGTTGTTCATTGCTTGATCAACCTCACACAACGGAGAGTCTGTCCACTCTTTACCAATTTAGTGTGATTACACTCCTTGCAATAATGTAATGTAATCTGTTGTAGTTCCGACTCTCCGGCACAGACACAATTCTGAACACGAACAGCAACTGTCCTCGAAGTCAGTTCGAGACAACCGTCCTTGACAACTGGCTTAAGAGATGTGTCGATCACCTCTGATTCATGTATAACTTAATGCGAATGATCGACATATCGTTCTCCATGACATGCATCAACAAAATTAGCAAGAAGGACTACATGATCTTTTCAGATCCTTTCTTACAAGTATGTTTACCTGAAGGCTCCACGCCCTACAAGGAGTCTCTGTATTTAATAAGAAAGATATTCCAAGATGTACCTTAGAAGTAAACAATCTGTATTTTTAACGTTCCATCAGAAACACATTTACGTATATTTTCAGTTATTACTTTACGGTACATCAGTGAGCGAGTTTTAAGCAGCTTTTAGAAATATTTCAGCAATATCGCGACGGGGGAACCCGGGAATGGGTGTAACACATTGTACTCACGTGGGGAATCGAACCCAGGACTTCGGCGTGACAAACGGACACCTTAACCACTACTCTACCCAACCGCCCCTTGCGGTACATTATGGATGAGGAGATAACACGCACATGGAAGCTTGTATAATGTCGGCTCTTGATGAAATAATACTCCATGTTTAATCTTAACCGGAGAAATTATATATGGCCTCATGTTCGCTTTAGCACACTACGTAACATTTGCAAGGCATACTGACGTGTTATTCTGTAACGGCACTCGCGAGAAAACATGTGAGCGCAATGTAAAATTTCTGAAACCATTAAATAATGGTCACAAGATAAAGTCATCGCCACCACAACATGGAATACCATTCCCATTACAGCTCACCTTGATACTTAAGGTATTCCTACCGAAAGTTGAGTAGTATGAAACAGTGTACATTCCCATGCACAGCTACCGATAGTTTACGCGCCTTCAGTTGCACAACCGCTCGTCCAAACATCCCATTATGGTGATGAAGTGATTAACGCTGCTTCGGTTTGACGGGACAACATTAGCCTTGGTCCAGGGCTTTACTAAATGCTAAGACCATGGAGGTATAGTAATTGTATCCTTCAAAGAGTCAAGTCTAGACAAACGGACAGTACTAGGATGCCAGTCTGCTATATGGACAACTTGTTCTTGCCACTGATACTTTCTTGAAATTTAAACTAATAATTATTGCCTTAGAGATTTGTGCAAGGCTAGTATAACTTGCTTGCTCCCGTTTTGGGACGCTCTTTACAGGTTCTGAAACAAAGAAACCCCATCAATCCGGACAGATCCGTTCACCCATATTTCGTCCGAATAAACAGATTTCCCTGTACACAAAGTTATCACTGCGCTCCGATGATTGAAAGCTGACGGTAAGGTATAGCAGTTACGATCACCTTTGTGCTAAGATGGCTTTGTGATAGGGGATACTGATCAATGAATCAATGACATGGAATAATGTAGCCAATTTTTTCGCGAACATCATTACTATTTGATAGTGGTCCATTAGCACCTGTTCATGATATAGCCGCAATCGGACAACGGATTCTGATTTTAGCAGATTGCTATAATAAATTAATCATATTAATTTTGGTTTAAGTATTCAACGTAAAAGTTGATATGACCATAAATATGAAATAAATAAGGCAACAGGGCCCGGTCTCATTAAAATAAACACTGACAACAAAATTAATTGCCATTTGCAATTGAATCTAACCCTCATATATTCCCACCCACACCGATAACGCCAACCCCGACCCCCTCAATTCCCAACCGTTCACCCCCGGGTTGCACAATGACACCGTAAGCACGTGATGGATTGTCTGAGATTATCACCCTTGGTTCACACGCACGTGCACACAGGTGGCGCTGTGATGGAAGGCAGCCTTGTAGCAGGCGATAACTGCCTTGTCTTCAAGGCTTAATTAGGACTGAGAGGCGAGATAGCTCGAGACAAGACTGATCATTGACCAAGGCACGGCCACATGTAAGGAATTAATTACTGACCAGGATCATTGGTGTGTGATAAAGTAGTAACGTTACGTAGCGGCGGTGGTCTACAGCAGTAAAACGTGACTTTTACAATGATACTGTTGCAATAAAGTTAGGATCCCTTACATGTTTCGTGGTGACATTTCTACATAAAGACCAACTGCAAGAGCACGGCTGCAACACGACTCCACGAGGGGAAATCTAAATGGTTGACTATCTGGCTAAGATTTAACGGTTCCAGGCTAATTCATTGTTCAAAGAGGAAAGACCATGAAAATGGATTTTTTATCACAAATATACGACATACTTAGTTTGGCGCTGCCTCTGAGATATTGTTTTTTGTCAAGACTTGGAATCAGACTGATAAGAAAGAAGTACATTGTTTCAGTAATAAACACAGAAAGAACATTGGAAGAACGGGGTTAATGATGATTTTTATATCTAGGTAAAATTGTAACCAAGGAAACTTATATTTCTTCATGTTAATGTATATCGACATGGCAATGTCTATTGTTTTGGTAACAACTCCTATATACATACACATCCTTTTGAGGCTACGTCTTGCCCGTTTTGGGGGCAGTGGGTAACCTAGCGGTTAAAGCGTTCGCTCGTCACGCTGAAGACCCGGGTTCGATTCCCCACATGGGTACAATGTGTGAAACCCATTTCTAGTGTCTCCCGCCGTGATATATCTGAAATATTGCTAAAAGCGGCGTAAAACCATACACTTTCACTTTCACTCACTCATACTCAGGCTTTATCAAGTGAACGACAGGGCGGAGCATGATAGATGAAGCCAGTAGCATTTAGATACATTTCAATGAATGAGCGAGTGTGTTTAGTTTTACGCCGCACTCATCAATATTTCCGCTATATGGCGGCGGTCTGTAAATAATCGAGACTGGGCCAGACAATCCAGTATTTAACGTTCAAGCATCACCACATGAAACCCATGTCAATAAGCGTTATGCTCCTCTACACAACCCGCCCCAACACTCGAGATAATGTGGGAACCACGCTGAGCTTATTAACAAATAAATGTTTTCTAAAAGTGAATTTGCTAACGTGCACATAAAAACCATATAAAGTTGTCATGTAATATACAGCAACTGATAATGTCTGCAAAAGCCGTGGAATAGCTCAATGGTGGTTGCGTTTTCTTGCCTTCCCGAACACAAGGTGACGGTTCCCAGATTTGTATAATAAACGTGAATGTTTGCTAAAACCATATTCTCAGTTTAAACTATTATTACTGCTTGTCAAATGAATTTAAATCTATAACCTAATCTTTGCTCAGCCTATTTCCGGCTCGATAACATGGTTGATAATGTCCTCATAGTCCAATCGTGAAAATGGATGGTTTATGGGTCAAATCATTGGATTGTCTGGTACGGATTCGATTATTTACCGCCTTCAGCGATATAAAACAAACAAACACACATCAAAATTGAGAGAGGGCAAAAAACGTGCCGTGAAATATCTAATGGCAAGTAATCGCAAACATGGCTTTGTCAATATGTAACTGTTTACATATGTGGACAAACTAAGTCCGAACTACAATATGCAAACCAGAAAGGTGGGTTTGTACAATCTGTGACAAAACGAAACTGAAACGAAATCAATGTAATGGCGATAGCCCTTTTGTACTAAAATTATTCAAGGGTTTCTACAAAATTGAAATTCTGTGAAAATACGAAAACAGAACGAAATCAATTTAATGGCGGTGATCATTATACTAAAATTATTCGCCCACCAGAGCGAACCAAGTTCTCGACATTGCTCCTTCGTCCCATTTGTCTCGGTCGTCATAATACCAGAGGTCCTGGCTAGTTAGACATAGTTTATAGAGTGAGACGTCAGGACGTAAACTCCTGGCAGGGTTTGATACAACACCCATCAATCTGAGCGGCTCATCAATCTTATGCTGTAACCTGCCGTGACGCGCTCAGCTTTCAAGTGTACGGAGCTGGAACAGAGCGGAACTGTCGCTGTCAGGAGCTGTGACGAACGGCTGATATTAGCGGGGTGATAAAGACACAAGTGCTGTGGAGGAGTTCTTGATCTGGCGCTTGGGAGGGTGATGATAACGCGTGAGATGTCGTTACTGTTGATGAACAGTAGTCAAGTACTGTGTAGACGCTAATGTGCATGCTGGTTCTCTTCACAATAATCTGGTACGAGCACCGACTACTGTACAATGTAACATTGCAATTCTCTAAATTCTCATGGGAAATATTTTAATACTACACTTAGGACCTTTGTGATTTTCTCAAGTAACGAGGACCGGTGGTTGGTCAAAGCGTTCGCTCGTCACGCTGGAGACCCGTGTTCGATTCTCAACACGGGTACAATGTGTGGAGCCCATTTCTGGTGTCCCCCGCCGTGATATTGCTGGAATATTGCTGAAAGCGGCGTATAACAAAAGTCTCCCACTCAGGGGCGGTGGGGTAGCCTAGTGGTTAAAGCGTTGGCTCGTCACGCCAAAGACCCGGGTTCGAATCCCCACATGGGTACAATGTGTGAAGCCCATTTCTGGTGTCCCCCGCCGTGATGTTGCTGGAATATTGCTAAAAGCGGCGTAAAACCAAAACTCAGTCAGTCAGTCAGTCAGTCCCACTCATTTATAGTGTTACCCGCCGTGATG